AGATCATCTAGTTCAGGTCTCCGTTGACAGCTGGGTCATTAATTTGTCTTTTTCAGATCCTTGCCAGGCCAAATCAAATATTTTCAAGGAGATTCCACCACTTCTCTGAGCAACCTATTCCAGTGTTTTCTTTTTGTCTGACGGTTCTTCTGTTGTATCCAGACACAATTTCTCTTGAAGTAATTTGCACTCATTGCCTCTTGCTCTGTGCATCCTTCTGAAGACAATATACATCCATCTTCTCTATATCTTCTGGGTATTAGAAGACTGTGGTTAGATCCTCCCCTAAGCCTAGACTAAACACATCCAATTTCTCGAACCTTCTGTCAAGGTCTCCAGACTCCTAATGTTCTTCACGGTCCTCTGCTAGACATAGACTGGTAGGACTAGAACTGGACACAATATTCCAGATGTGCCCTTATTGATACAATCCAGGGCTCATTCTGCATTCATTGCTGCAAAGACTGCTAGCTCAAGTTCAGTGCTTGCCATGAGAATCCCCAGGTCCCTTTCAGCAAAGCTACAGCCCAGCTATTCAGATCCCACCCAGCTTGTACTGCTGTTTGGAATTTTTCGATCTCATGTGCAAGACATTACATTTATGCAAATCTTGTTGGACTGGTCTTCTAATTTGTGAAGGCCTGTCTGCATGATGGCTGTTTCTTCTCCTTTCAGTTTGGTATGATCCACAAATTTTCAAAGCAAGCATTCAGTTCTTTCATCCACATCCGTTATAGAGATGTTGAACAGTATCAAACCCAATACCAGCCTCTAGGAACTCCCTTTGCAACTGCTCCCTAGTGAGCCAGTGAAATCATACATAGTCTTGCCCTGTAACATTTCTTTAAGATTTTGAATAGTACATTTTATGGAAGCAGCTTGGTAAATAAGATTGCTTCATCTCTCACCAGATCAGTAGGTATTATCCCTCTGGCTTCTACATTTGGAAATTAGGGACTAGTTTTGTCTTCAGAAACTGTCACATTACTGCTAGGAAAGTCCTACTGAGTTGTACATGGAGAATTAATAAATCTCCATGAAGAAAAGATCTTTTAAGAACCATCATTCAGCTGTTAGGAGAGACTGTTCAACAGTTTTCTACTGTGAGAAATATATCTTCTGTAAGAAAAGCAAAAAAGAAGTAAATTTGACTTTGTTTTCTGGAGAACTTGACTGGCCTAGCGCTTTTGAGACAGCTTCTCACTCTGGATACTCTATTCCAGAATTTAACTGCTACGTTTTTTATTACTTTCTAATAGCAATTAATCTGAATTCAAGACTGGCAGTCCTGTATTGTGATAGGCTGCAAAGAGAAAACAAAAAGAAGTCTGGTCTCAAAATGGGCTACTTAAAATCTAAGTACAGGAAAATAAATACATAAACCAAAATACATCAGGATCAGGAATTAAAAAAAAAAAAAAAAAGAGAGAGAGAAAATTGTACACATAAACTTTTCCTCAGACAGACTATGCATTAGAGAACAGTGCTCAGAGTACCAAATATGATAGTGGTGGTCTCCTTAGTAATCAAGATAGAACAGAAAAGAAACTGTTTGCAAAAGGTAAACAGTACTAGCTTAATGCAGTCACTCTAGTGAATGTCTCAGATGCCAGTAAAAGGAACAAGTTGTCTCCATGGAATAAACTTAAAGCAGAGCAACAGTACTCTTCAGTCATGCAAGATACCATATCTTCAATGCAGGGACAGTGCCACTGTCTTCCTGATCACTGATATTTCTTTCTTCTAGACAGATGTTAGTCTCATTCCTGTGTAGATAATTTCATTCCTTTGAAGTCAGTTGCTCTTCCTGGTATTTAAAGGTCTCTATGCCTATTGCAGACCAATCTGACAAGAAAAGCATCTTAAAGACAAAGGGGAAAACAATATGTCTTTCTTAAGACTATTTTCAAGCATGTGTTATGCTACTATTTCTCTAGCTATACATACTGCTTCAGTAGTCATATAGTATAAGATGTGTTAGATGGGTAAGAAAGTCCATGAAATGGAGACAATAATTATATGTAATATTGAAATTAGGGAAATGATGATAGATAAAAGTTACTAATGGAACTTCTAAGAAGTGGTTTTAAGGCTAACCTTATTTAATATTTTCATTTAAAAAAATCATGATTGTATAATGAAATTTAGAGTTGACATAATGTTTGGAGTTCATATTAAAACAGATGAAGATCATAGTGTCACACAGATAGAAGTGGAAGCCCTTGAGAATTGGTATAATAGAAATGAAATTAAATATATTAGTACAAAGTACAACATAATGCACTTAAAACTAATGACAAGAAATTATGTTATTAGCATAGAGCTCATCAACTGGAAAAGATAGTTCCTGGAGTAGTTAATCAGTGTATATCACGTAACCAATGAGATGCCAGTGTGATGTGGCTATGAGAAACTAAATGTAAGGCTAGTAGATCTACCAGACTGACTGTATCATGTGAAAAGATAATATTATATAAATAGAAGTGGTATTTCTGATCACTGACAATAAGGATTTAGTCAACCTGAATAGATTTATTTTTCATCAGCTTTTCCAGTCATAGCTTGAATGTACAGAAACTTGTAGTATTTCCTACACTGACTTTTGACAAAGAGTTCCAGAAATCCACTGTTTGCTGCATGAATACGTAACTACTTTTGTTTGTTGCAAACTTCTTACTGACTAGATTTTTTTTATATCCCATGCTTTTACTGAAGGAGATGGTGGAAAATCTGTCCTTATTCATTTTCTCTGTAATGTCTTGATTGTATAGTTCTTTATTTTATTCCTCCTTAGTAATCATTTTCCCAGTTTATTCTGTTCTTGTAAAAGCAATTCCATACCCTCAGTCATTATCTTTCTCTGAACCTTTTCTAATTCTACCATATCTTTTTTTGAGATTTTTTTTTTTTTGAGAATTGTAGGCATACTACCTAAGATGGGGTTTCTAACCATCTTGTAAGGACAATGCACAATGGGTTTGATAACCAAGGTACTTTTAGTCCTTCTAGCATCTTTGTTCCTGAATAAAGAACTGGAAGAAGTTGAAATGACATAAGCATATTTTCTAGAAAAGTCATAAAGTTGCTTTAGGAAAAGGGTCATAGTAAATTTGCTAACATAAGTCGGAAGAATAAAACATTTTGTATCAGATAAGATGCAATTTGGGATTGCATTAACAACCTCTAATTATGAGAGGCTGAAAGAAATAATTCAGATTGTATCTCGTAGTCAAGACAACATATTCTTTATCAATAATGTAAGTTAATATTTAATATAACAGGGACTTCTGTACAGAAAATAAAGTTTTAAAGCCTGTGTGAAGGACCTGTGTATGAAAAATACACAAAAAGAACAGAAGTGCTTTTCTAGTGGCCTCAAATGCTCAGTGACTCATAGACTTCTCTGAAATGAAAAAACAAACAAACAAACAAAAGACCAAAAAACCAAGTGAAAGTACTTAGACTAGTGGCATAGAAAAAATTGTTCCTCTGCAGAAGAATAAGTTTTATTTGCATTGGATAGAAATGCTTTTCTTGGAGTATTACTCTCAACTGCTGCAGGATGCATTTACTAAGCAAAGTTACAGCTGTGCATATCAAATCTATTTGCACTGGACATGATCTATCAGGGACAGCAATATGCAACAATAGGTCACAGTTTAGCAACACTAATGTAAGCTATTTTTAGGAAAATACAGTGTAGTTTTATCACTAGCGGACCCTTCTACTTCAGCTAGTGGAAAATGATGTCAAAATACTTTGGAGGAAAAAAGTGCCAAATCAAATTTAGATCTGTAGTTAGCTGAGTTAAATTACAGAATAGCAGAAATGAAACGAAGGATGTTACATGTTTGCATTCTGTTCACTGGAAAGCTGAATGTCTGTACTGCTAGAAACTAATATAAGGGCCACTGAAGACAGAGAAACAAATAGAACAATACAAAATACTAGATCTTATTTATGATTCTTGAAGCTCTCACCTTTTTTTGAAACTTACACATTCTGTATTATAAAAGGTAGCAAGTTATAAAAGCATTTTTGACAAAAGAGATATGCAGAGAACTGTAGAAAGTCTGTATTCCAGATGTACAGCTATAGAGTTTCTCAGGAAAGAATCAGTTGTCAAGGACATTTGAGATTAGTTTAACTCTTAGACTCTCTTAGACTCTTTTAGCATTTGAGATTAGCTTTGTTAATTTTCTTAGACAATAGATTTCTTATAAGTACTTGAAATTCTGTTATCTTAGTGTCAATTGTTAGTTGCTGTTATTACCATATTTGTCTGAGAAAAAGATTCCAGTGTGAGCGTTTTGGAATTGGACTGTCATTCAACCTATGCAATATGCTAAACCAGCAATAACTCAGATAAGGAACTAAGTGGAGCTAAATCAAATTTCCTCACAGGCAGAGGGGAGAGGTCTGAGAGAAGACCTTCATTCTTTCCAGTGCTTCAGCCATAAATACTGAAGGACTGGGAGTCATATCAAAGCCAAATCCATAGCATTTGGGGAAGGGATTTGCTAAAGGAGATCACCTAATCTCATTACCTAATGACTAGGGAAAGACAATGGAAGGTGTGAACAATAGTATTAGGTGGAAATAAAATCAAATTACTTCTAGAAAGAAGCAAACATAAAAAGGAGAAATACCTAATTTTCCAACAACTTCTACTACAGACTGTCAATACCTTCATGGTGTTTTATCCTGCTTAAAAGTGCTGTGGTAATGGAGAGATCTGCTTCGAAATATAATCAGTTCTTATGGGACAATCTGAAATTGGCAACAAAAAAACCAGTTAACAAAATCTGAAGATCACTAGCAAAATGTACTTTACACATGAAGTGACATGTAAAGAAGAAAGCAAACTATAATTTCGGAGATCAGTGTTATTCTTTCATATCTATTTCTATTTAAGCCATGTAAATTAGGCTTTTTCTAAAAATATATTACCACTAAACTATGGGGTTTTTTCTTGTTTTGTTTGTGGGGTTTTTTTTAAGGTAAGAGGGCCCCCACTTGCAGGATCACAAAAAGAAAGACCAGCAAAGCCCACGGCATTTCGCAAGTTTTATGACAGAGGAGACTTTCCAATTGCCGTTGAACATGATACGATAGCAAACAAAATCGCCTGGAAGGTAAGTCATGGCACAGCTGTGACAGCAGCTGAGCTTATTGAAGTGACATCTCTCATTGTCAAACAAAGTTAGCTTGCAAGTAAATACACTGAAATAATTTCTTAGCAAATGGAAGATGGTGGGAAAGTCATTAGAGAAAGGCCCCTGAGTCAGCTGTCTGCCTTGGCTAACAATTAAATTATATGCTGCAAAAAGGAAGATGACAGAGTTGCTTTGCCTTAGAGAATTGTCTCCTGCCCAATTCATCTCTATTTTTATGAGGACCTGGCAATGCAGCCTGTTTCAGGCAGTCCATCAAATGATGGAAGTGGCTGGATACAGTGAGCAGCAGCCATTTATCTCCCACAAATTTCACCTTCCTGCAGGACACTTCCAAATAGAAGCTTTAATTACCTAAATGGATAGGTCAAGATTGCCTGCTCCCTGAAAATGCAGAGCAGAATACAAACTAAGGCAAATTCTCATTCCTCGGCTGTACTCGGTCTACAGCATATGTCAGACAGCGTAATCGCTGTCATACGTGCCTCTGTTACAGGCTGACCTCCACTGCTGAAACCATTACAGCTCCGACATTTCTCTGACAAAAGGTTAATTGGCTTCAAAATAAATGTATCGCCTAATGACTCCATTCTAATGCAGCTGTGTTTCTCTCTAAAAGGCTTAGCGATGTTATTTGTAAAACTTGCCAATCTTCTAAGTAACTACCGCAGACTTTTAAATTTAATTTAAAAAATGAATGCTGATCTTTAACCTGCTCCTACTATTTAATTATTTTGGTTATCATGAATTACTGTATTTTTTTGTCTTATTTATTGGACTACAATAAGATTTTGCTGGAAGCAGCGATAGTTACAGAAAATGAACACGATATGCATGAACAAAGTATAACAGATTTGTAGAATGTTATAAATTGTTCATTTCAAGAACATGATACCAATTTTAAATGTATAGCTATGTTAGTCAACACTAAAAGAAGGGATTTTGCAATCTTATAATGGATTCTACCTGTAATGAAACCAACAGGATTAGTCCTACAGTGTGGTAAGTGGTACCATATTTGATATTAACTAGATTTTTAAGGTAGCTTTTTCACTTATTGAAGTAGTGAAGAGAGATTTGTGCTACCATTTTGTTGCCTATATAGCAGTGTTGAATCAGCACAAGGAACAATTAATACTTCTTGCACCAATGGGAATCTTTATCCAACAAGACTTTACCTATGATCAAAATGAGATTCCAGTGCAATTGGGCTTTAGGCAACACTAGAAATTCCCTTACTGGACTAAAACTCACAGGCTTACCAGACAGATCTGCACTCTGATCTTTCATCACCAGGTGATCACCCAAAGATGATCTTCAAGCAACTGCAAAAAAATCTGCTCAATTTAGTTTTTATCTTGAGGCTTTATAATTTCTAATTTCTCAAAATCAGACTGAGACGTACAGAAAAATTACCTCATTTTAATGGCATTTTGATGCATGTATTTCCCTCATAAGGACTGGCATTCCACTAGATGATGCTAGTGACTGCTTAGTTGACTTAGGACATGAGGAAATGGAATGAAGCTATATAAGAAGTTCAGATGGTACATTAGGAAAAGGTTTTTCCCTGAGAGGGTGTCACTGGAACAGATTCCCCAGGGAAATGATCACAGGAACAAGCCTATCAGTTTCTGGACAAAGCTCTTAGTCATATTATTTAGGTAGTTCTGTGAGGAGCAAGGAGTTGGATTCGATAATCCTTATGGGTCTCTTCCAGCTTCCTAATTTGTTATCTACAAGCCTTCCAACCATAGATGAGTGTCTAGAGTAAGTGTTATATGCCTTTATCTGACCGTTTGAGTTGTTTGAAAACGTACTACCATAAACAGTCACAACGGCAGTCTCTAGTCAAAGATCCAGTGTGTATTTATTCTTAACAACATTTGCAGTCTTACAGATCTAATGTACACCTACCACAGTAAAACACTGGCATTTACCTAGTGCAATGTAGGACTGAGGTGTCATGCAACAGGGGTTTTTTGCTATTTCCTTTCTTTTGAAACAAATTATTGGACTTCTGCATGAGTTCGAGAAGGCAGCACAGTAGCAGAGTATTCCATTCGTACATTAGCACAGCCAGGTCAAACCTTATTTCCCTTATTCCATGCCACTTGATTTAGTCAAAAGTCAATCCAGACCGAGTTCTGTGGCAGGTACTTAAGAAAACAATACTGAAGTAGTAGAGTTACTTGAGATTTTTGTTTAGTTTGACATGCAACCATCATAGACTGTTGTGCAGTTTAAGTAGAGGAAGCAGGCAAATGAGAGTTTTCTAGTTCAAAGATTACATTAGATAGCTTCTAAAGTCTTATAGGCTACCCAGTGCTGCAAAAGGGTGAGAATGTTGTTCATCACTAGCTAATATTTAAAGGTATAGATAAATTAAGGTTTATATTTTTCACTTGTTATTAGGACATGCATATCCAATAGAAATCTAATGGCTAATTTTGATCAGTTCATCATATTTAATTGTAAATCTAATTAAATAAGTAATTTTTTTGCAAATATATTTTACTCAATACTGCTTAAATTCATGACAGTGAAAAGATATTTTGCTAATGAAATGTGTCTTGGCAAAATGTCCTGTAAAAGGTTGGCTGAACTATACTTATTTGCAGATGAAATAAATGATAACAGTGATATTTTAATCCTGCTATAATTGCACAATATCAATATTTTATTTTGAGAGGGGTTTTTTTCTCTGTTTAGTTCTTATGTATATCATGCTTCATTTCACTCTTGTTATTTTGTCTACCAAGTGGTGCATGAGAGAAAATGCAAGAGAGTCTCAGAAACCTGATTTTTTCTGATAAAAGAAAATACTACAGGATTTTGTTCTTTCCTGCAAAATACACTGCTGTTTTTTATTTGCTTCTTTGTTTTTTATAATTACTGAAGCAAAACATAACTATCAGATATTAAAGGTTTTTTTTGAAAACACTTTGAATTCTTGTTCATTTTATTGTAATTCTGCAGACAGAATACAGTCAGTTTTAAGCTACAGCAGGAGAATCTAAAATGGTTTAATATCCATGAATTGTGTTAATATGTACCAAAAAATATGCACAAATGATCCTTGATATTGTGACAGTTCTGCATACCCCTAATTTTAAATTAAACCCATGATTACTTTCCTGTAAGAGCTGACTACATATAACTATGGTTGTAGACCTAAATAAAATATAAACTTAAATTTCAGGAACAACACAGAACTATTTCTGAATAATTGCATGTGTTGAATATTTAATTATGAAATAATAGTACTTTTTTGTTGTTTAGCTTAGTTATTTCCAAAATAATTTCTAGATTTATAAAGAGACATTTTTACTCCAATTTAATCCTAAGCATAGACAAGATTAAACTGTGCAGATAAACTATGGTGTTTACCTGGGTGCTTTTTCTCAAAAAAAAAAAGAGACCAAAGCAAATTGGATGTCACCATTATAGCAAGATGTGTGCTCTGTGTTAAGTCTCTTTTTTAAGTCTAGACAGATATCTCTTAGAATATTTCTGTAATTCTGATTGGTAAGTTTTACTGTTGTTAAAAGTTCAAATACACCTGTTTCAACCTAATGGAAGAAAATATATGAAAATATATGTTTACAATATATTATATACAAGAATGGGAAATCAAACCTGGTTTTAAGGAATAGCATCCAGAGGAAAAGAAAAAGGATTAAAAAAACTCTGATAATACCAAGCTAAAATTATGTGGTACTAGAGGCTATAATCACATATATTTCTAAAAGAGGAAGACATGATTGTCTTGGTGTTCCCAATTTTTGTTTTCAAAACTGGAAAAAAGTTTTCTTTTTGTCATTTTCAAAAGGTGAATATAGACAATGATTTGTTAATTATGTCTATGAAAAACCCCTGACCTTTTTTCTAGCTCGGTACACAACTTTCTGGTTTTTATTGCAATTAAAGTGAAAAAATCATTACAAAATTAATTCAAGACTTTTCATCTCCATTCAGGGATGTACTAGCAGTCGGTGAATTCTTTGCTAAATGGCATATACTCTGTAATATTTTAATATCAAATTGGAGACCTTTGTTTTTATCCTTCCTCTGTGATCGTACATAGAGGTCTCTATATATCTGTACTTTAAAATTACTGCAAATATATAATGCTTTTTTGTTTTTATAAAGCAGTAGTTTTTGAAATCTAGAAATAAACAATTCCTTTGGTTATTTAACAAATGTATGAGGGTCTTTCCAAATATGAAGCATTTGGTTTTGTCCACTAGCAGAGAATGAATAATAAATGTATGGTTTGAAAATGTGTATCAAACATGAAACTTTGGAACACAAATTGTTGTTAATTTAGAGTTAAATAACATTAGAAAGTAATCTTTTTTGGCAAATAATGTGTTAAAATATTTATAAGCTCTGTGACTACTTTCCCACAGTTTTTTTTTCATCTTATGTATATCACAATTTTCTTTCAAAGTGTAGTAATACTGTCTTTTGCACAGTCTTATACCAAGCTATGAATAATAAAAGCTCATAGTTCAGGTCTGAAAAGCACTTCCATTTTTAAATATACGATACTGAATTAAAAAAGGTCAGAATGCAATTAAACCTTTGACTAAGAAAGTTGATAACACTAAGAAAATATTTCTGAATTATTAAGAATGTGTTTGAAATGCAGTCTCTCTGTATCACACAGAAAGTCATCAGAATGTTTGAAAAATTATTTTTTAGGGAGTGGAGTTAATTATGAGAACCATTATGCAGAGGTAAAAGAAACTTCCATTCTTCAAGAGAATTTTATCAATTCCAGAAAAATGAAAATCAAATTCAGAAATGCAAACTTGTCAAGCAAAATATCAGCATTGAACATGATTTCTATCTTTTGGAGTTTATGCTGTTTTTCCAGAATAACTGTGTTCACTAAGGATGTGACTTTTACCATTTTAATTTTAATTTCTCTTCAACTCCTCTTTCCTACGCAGTTA